AAAGTGACAGACAATAGTGAGCTTCTTCAAAAGTCATTGATTTAAATTTTAATTTAATGACTTTTGAAGAAGCATTAAATCTATTTTTAAAAAAATGTTTAGATAAATCATTCATGTATGTGTAGTATAACAAATATTTTTATTTACTCTTCATCTTTCACCTTTTTGATTTTATCAACCTATATGTTTCCTCATAAGAACCATGTATTTTAAACTGAAATATAAAAGATTATTAAGCAATTTTTATCTACTTTCTTACTTTATTTTTATCTACTTTATCTACTTTCTTACTTTATTTTTATCTACTTTATCTACTTTCTTACTTCGATAAATTAACTCACTTTCATGAGAATTTATAAGTAAAAAATGCCTAAAAATGATACATTAGGAGCCGTGTACACTTCGCGCACGCGGTGTTTAACTGAAGTAGAGGGCCGATATCTCTAAAATGCCCGGGCCGATTTTAGATCCCAGTCCGGGCCTGGTAGGTATAAATATTTTAATAAACATAATAAACTTGTTAAAATTGTATTTTGATTTGAAAATTCATTTTAACTGTGTTGGTGAGTAATATAATTCAATTTCGACAAAGATTTAAAAAGCTCAGCAGTTTTTCTCATAGCGAACAATGAACGGTCTGATGTTTTCTCCGTTACTGCGATAGTCAAATTTTCTTTTGTGTTCATGAACCAACTTTCATCAAGTTATATAAAGTTATACAAAACAAGTATCGAATTAAGTATCAACTAAGATGTGTGCATTGAAGCACCTTTGAAAGCATATTGAAAATTAGTCTGAAATAATTTTAGTTTGATAGCAGGTAATCAGATATTAAAATTATATGAAATCTCTGCAACTATAAAAAGAGTATGCTTAAATAAACGTTTACAAAATAGATTTATTAAGTGAAATGAACTTTACCAGCAAAAGTAAAGATGTCTATCTTAATTATTGTCTCAGGAGATGGAACAAAAAAGAAGTAGTAAGATGGCATGGAGTCTTATTGTGGTTCTTGATAAATAAAAAAATACTCGTACTTCCTCACAAATACGCTCTCTCAAACATTGATGAAAATATTTCGCCAAATTCCGGCAGATTTCGAAATCATTATTTTATTAAATAAATTAAAATAACTCCCCTTGTTTTGGCCGAATTAGAATATAAGTTGTCGCATAAATTTTCATGGAATCTGAGCTAAATCAAATTTGTCCAGGAATATAAAGCATCTGAAACCGATATGGATCTTCACAAAACAAATTTAAAATTTTAATTTGTACTTACCTTCACGGATGCCAGTTGGATACCACTTATGTGTACAGCCTTCAAAAAAGAAGAGTGGAAAGCAAAGGGAATTGAATAATTACAAGTTCGTTAGTACATTGAACAACAAGTTTTATTCATATTATTTTATTTTACATTCGTATATACATAAGAAGAAAAAAAAAAGAAAAGAAAAAAAAACGATCTTCACTGTCAGAAAAGCCTTCGTATGTCATCATTTGTCAGTCCAATAACATTTTCTAACAACAATGATTGAGGAGTTGAACGTAAGCATGGCAATACTAATAGTGTTCGTCCAAAAGCTCCACTTTCTTTGTTTCTCACCCGAAGCATGTGCTGCTCTAGTCTGGTTTGAGCTTGCTCTAATATTAAATCAACATGCCCTGGAGCAACAAGAGGCTTATAGCAATCTGGGAAAGTATAAGACTATGCATTAATGATCCCTAAAAATTTTTTTAAAATTAATAAGCATAATTACACTCAAGACCCAAAACATTATGACCACCTCTTAGTAAAGAGTTGGCCCACCTTTAGCCCGCAACACATCTGCAATCCGCCTTGGCATGGATGCCACAAGTCCTTGGTAGATGGCCGGAGACAGATTGTACCAGATGTTTAAGCAACGGTCACTCAAATACGAGATATTGCGACTTAGTGGTCTTTGAACTCTGAGCTGCCGTTCCACGACATCCCAAATGTGTTCCGTCGGATTGAGATCCGGTGAGTTAGGCAGCCAGGACATTAACTGGAATTCAACATCATGTTCCTGGAACCACTCCGGGCGTTGTCCTGTTGGAAAATTTAATTTCCAGCTGGAAAAACAGAGGCCATGCAAGGGTGCAACTGGTCCGCAATGATGTTCAGATACCCTGTAGCATTCATGGTCTGCTCTACCACAACCACGGATCCCAGAGACACCCAAGAGAACGCCCCCCCCCAAGCATAATACCGCCACCACCGGCCTGTGTATGACCTACTGTACATTGAGGGAGCAACTGTTCGCCTGGAAGACGGCGTATCCTGACACGGCCATCGGCGTGATGAATGACAAACCATGATTCATCTGACCAGGCAACTCTCTCCCACTGATCCATGAACCAGTCGTAATGTTCCCGGGCCCTGCGCAGGCGGTGTAGGAGATGACGCTTGGTCAGCAAAGGCACACGAGTGGGACGTTTGTTGAGTAGCCCCATATCCAACAGTGTCCGCTGAACTGTGTGCTCTGATGCTATTCTACTTGACCCTGCATTGTATTGGGCTGTCAGTTGGGCCACTGTCTGGTTCCAGTTTTGCTTCACCAAACGAGACAGTGCCCGACGACCTTTTTCTTTGATAGCGTGTGGACGTCCAACACCATGTCGTCTACTGCTGGTTTCACCGTCATTCGTCCACTTTGCATAAGTATTAACAACTGTAGATCGCGAACAACCCACGAGTCGTGCAGTTTCGGAAATACTTATTCCGAGCCTTCGAGTCATTACAATCTGCCCTCTATCAAAGTCGCTTAGATCCGCAGCCTTTCCCATCACACACAAAAGTAAGTGAAAGAATGATTCTTCAAACACTCCAGCAGCAGTTAAATACCACTTCCACCTGATCACCTGCCTTCCACGTCATCCAGGAGAGTTCATTGCAAAATGTAGGGGTGGTCATAATGTTTTGGCTCTTAAGTGTATATGTAATCGTATTTTCCATACCATGTGTGCAAACACGATTTAAACACATTTTTTTAAAAAGTTTAACTTTACTATTTAGTAAGTGAATAAGTTTAGTAACTGAGTAAGTTCATTAAGTAAGTCAAACCCTTCTCTAACTGGTACGCTTAAAAAAAATTCGGGATCTTTTATTAAAAAAAAGAAATTAGTATCGAAATTATAAAAAAAAATTGTGTTTAGGAGTTAAAGTAATGATTTTCCTTAATCAAGGTTTAAACATTTTTCGGGCTTAATTTTTCGCGCTTTTATATGTCTACAACACATTTTTTAATCTTATAATTTTATAAATCAGAACGCGCGTATCAGTCTGTACTGACCGAATCCCATCCCGGCATTTAATTAATTAAAAAATTATTGACACAGGATTTAAAAAAATAAAAAATAAATACATTCTACATGCAATGAAAACTATATTTAAATACTTCAATGTATAATTTTGAAAAAGGTTGGATGAAAGTTAAAGAAGTTATATCTGTGAGCCTTTCGAAATTTATGTTATAAAATTAATTCCTATTTTTAATAAAATGAAATTTTAAAGATGAAATATATCAATGCCTCCCAAGAGCTATCACATTTTTCAATGGCTAAAAATACATTTATTCAGATTACTTACATCCACAAAATTAAAGTTTTGATAATTTCTGTAAAGTATAAAATGACATATAATTTTTTGTAAGAGGATGAAATAATTTCAGAGAAATTTCTTTAAAATAAATTCAAAATTTTTTGCCAATTTAGCTAGAAGTAATAAGTCAGGAAAACAGGCCACCACCAACGACTGTTGAATGCGATTCCGTAGTGAATGAGAACAAACAACACAAGGACAAAAATTACGCATTTTTGCTCGCAAATGAGAGATAACATTTTATTTCGGAAATCAATATTTAAATGAGAGAAAACAAAAACGCTTTCAAATCTAATTAAAAGTTGTAGTAGTACAGGAACTGCACAGTGGGTAGTTGGCACGGTCTGGGAAAAATCCCTGTGAGGATGAACCGAAGACATGATATCACAATTTTGATCCTCTTCAGAGGGAATGTCTCTCATGCTTTGGTAGCTCGAACCACATTTTCTCGGTTCGTTCGCAGGCTGATCAAAGCGGTAAATATGAGCAGTAGTAGAACTTTACTATTAATAGTAGTCGCTAGAGCTGCAGGATGGGCTATTCGTGACGGTCAAGGAAACATTCCTGATCCTGAGGAATAATACTAGAAAGAATTTGCAATGAACAAAAAAGTAAAAACTGGAAATTGGAAACTCGTATTCTTCTAAATAGAAAGTAGTATTGTTGTACTATATTTATGTCACTCTAAACCTGCACAATGAGCTATTGACGACGATCTAGGAAACATTCCTAAGGATGATCCAAAAACATACCATCACAGTTTTTACAGAGGGTATGGCTCTCCTGCTATGGTAACCCTATGACCTGGGTGCGAAGTTGAGCACTTTACGGTAGATTAGTTTTACTTGTGGGCCAGTGTTATCGACAATGTTAATCTTGTTCACAGTTGCAGCACTTGGTTGGCGTTTCTTTGGTCTTTTTGCAGTCATATGAAAAGCGGCTACCGGTACACTTAACACATATTGGCTAGTAGTTGCAAGTTCGCAGCGTGTGGCCGAAGCCTTGGCAGCGGTAACACCGAATCTGTAGTCTCCCTCCATGGAACCTAACGACTCTAATCTGATGATCTTTGAAGTGAGTCGACCGGCGGATCGTTTTGTTGTCCTCCATGTCGATGTCGGGGAGAATTTAACAACAAGAAAAAGAGGGAGGAGCTTATAAAGCCCTTCCACTCTCTTCTTAAATTGCGTGATCTTATTGGTCGAAATGAACGTAGAAGATGAAGATGTATACGTAGAAGATGGTCCATGGTTTTTTTTTTATAACAAAAAGATGCTGATGGCAAATTTATAATGATTCAAATTCCATAAACTTTAGAATCTCGAAAATGTTTGGAATATTAATAATCATTTAAAATTTTGATGAAATAGGTTTGTAACTTACATACCTTTTCTAGCTAAAATAATTGTTTCCAGTAAAGATCTTTCCAAAAGATCCAACTGCAACTGTCGACATTCTATTATTGCTGACACCATTCTCCTTGGTAGCATCTGAAAAAAAGAAAGAGAGAGAGAAAGAAACGATATTAACATTTGATTTAACATATATGTCATAAGTTAATTAAATAACCCGGTTCTTTGCAAACTACCACAGTCATTTTGTAATTTGTCACGTTAATTAGAGAAGTCTCCAATGCTTTCTAATCAGCCCGACACTTTTTTAGGTTTTTTGCAAAGAGACATACATATTTAGGCTAATTAGGAAAAAATAAAATATATTTTAAGAAAGCAATTTTTTACACAATCTTGTTAATTAAAAATCTTGTATATTATTTTAAGCATTTTTACAAAATCGCTTAATATAATCGTTACTAAGGTTCAACATCACTCCAAAATTTCAATAAATTATATCATTACTATTTTTTACATAGTTTGAGACAGTGGCCCCCATCCCCCCAAGTTCTTGGGCGCATTCACAATTCGTGTCTAAATTCCCCCCCAAACTATTCGTTTTATTTAGTGTAAAAACCCCCCCCCCAAGCTTGAAGTGGGCGCATCGTGCGCCCACCTTCCCCCCTGATGGGGGCCCCTGGTTTGAGAGTAGCTAACGTAAGAACATTGATTTAATTGTAAAAGTCTGAAATCACAATATAGGCTTTACAACGGTTTTCTCACTGTCGCACGTAGTATGGACCAAATAAGCTTTGACAAACTTTAAATGGCGTTTTTCAAGCTCGCTGACATAAATATCTCGTTTTAAATTTTCATCTAATTTACTTAAAAATTTCTCAGCGTGTTTATGTCGCAAGCTAATTGTATAATCCAATTCCTTGGGAATTACAACTCGCCAGTAATTTTACAATCGCCAGGCTAAATGGAAAAGCCTCCTGTATTTTATTTTAACTAATCTAACACTTTTTAGCTTATTGCACTTAGCCTACGCCTACATACCTTTAGACTTTTTAGAAAACATATCGTTCACAGTTCGATTAGCCTGATTTATTTCGGGCAGTTTGCAGCAAATCCAGAGTAGTGAAAGCTTGTCAAAAACCTTATTAAAGGTTTATTACAATGATCATAAGTAAATATCGGTGTGACTGAGTAATTCTTCGGAAATTTTTTAAGCTCTAAGGCATATAAGCTGATTGAAAAATTGCCTAGAAGCTTTTAGGCAGATTAGAAAATACTGAAGATTTTTCAATCAGCCTGGTGCGTTGCAAAATGTCGGCAACATTTGTAGCGAGTCATATTTTTCTATTTGCCTTCATACATTAAATATTACATACATGACGTAAATCGGAAATTTTCGAGGAAGAAAAAACGAAATTGAATAGAAACAAACTCAATTGATATATTATGAGTGTTAATGCGGAGAATGATTAGTGTAAGACATAAATGAATGAGAATGTTTGAGCTGTTGAAGATGTTTTTTGAAACGCAGAAAAAATATCAGTATTTTGGCTAAAGAAAAGAAGTCATATGAGAGTACAATTGTGGTAAAAAAATGCAAAAACTAATTTAGAAAGAGTAAAAACTGTTCCCCTCGAATTACGCTTACAGAGAGTAATAACCACTTTCAATAGATATTTTTAGAATGATTTTTAAAGCGAAGTCTTTAGAATTTGCATACCAGTTAATCTACAGTCAATTGTTCCACATTCAGAATAAATTTATTAATTTCTTGAAAAAAGAACTTTTTGTTTAGAATAACATAAAGATTTTGGTATCAAGCCCAAAATGATTCGATTAAGCATTCCTTCTGAAGATCGGGAGAAATACTAAAGTCTTAGTATCTAACATCTACCGAAATCATTGACTACAAAGCCGTATTGGGTTAGAGGCATGACTTATAGCTTCTTAACTTTGCTTGCTCTGTTTTCTTCTGAATATCTACTTCTCTGTGGGTACTTTTTTCCTACTGCTGCTCGAGCAACACCTTTTAGAAGAAAGGCCTCCACGCGGATCAATTATCAATTTAGTAGTCCGACGTAATGAACATAAACTGCACAGTTGGGGTTAATAAAAAAGATTTCGCTACTAAAAAAAAAAGATTTCACGTTTATAGCAACCAGTGCGAAGGGCTTCTCTCTTCTAGAAGATGTTGGTTCAAGCCAGTGTTCAATTCCTCATACTAAGAGCTGGCTGATTGAATTTAACTTTCTCCAATCATATCATAGTAGCTCGGAATATTCTATAGTAATGACCCCAGAAGTAATGACCCAGAAGTAATTCTATAGTAATGACCCCTTTTTTCGCCAGAAAAGTCCTTGCACAGTGGTGAAACTTGGGGAGCATATTGGAAAGTTTGGGTGTTTATTGCCAACTTCTGATCTAAATTGCAGTAGTGAAGTGTGCGCATGCATTTCATGACATCATAAATGCTAACTCTCAGACCGTCACCAATATCTCATAAGTGTGGATCCAATGTGACGATAACAACTTAAAACATTTTTTTACAAAATTTTGAAGTAACGATAGATGCATAACTAAAATCAAGAAAACATTTTTATTCAAAGTTCATTCATAAAAGTATGCTATTTATAATTTTACGGCGAGTAGTATCTTTACTCCTTATTGGTGACATCAAATAGATGCAACGTGCAAAATTTCTTGTTACGCTACTCCATCCTGTATTAATTAAGTGTAATTAGAAGCTAATAAAAAGAGTTCTAATATTTTTCTTTTTTTCTTTTTTATTTTTAATCAGTGCTTACAAACGTTAAAATATCATAAAGATGCATTCCAAGAATATGTTTATGAACTAATGAGCGATACGATAAATGTTATTGAAATTCAAATATCAATACCTTTCCATAGTTCTCTACGTGCTTTGCTACAGTTAATATATCTACTGGCCAATATGCTGCTTGTAAGAGAAATAATTCACCCCAAACATCTTGTAAAATCACTGACTGATCCACAGGAGGTAAAGAAGAAAACATTTCATTACTTCGAGCTCTTCGGAAGCTTACCAGAAGTATATGAGCGGCTATCTGCCTGAAAACTACACTGGCTTCTGGGAATACTTCAGAACCTAGAATATATATGAAAAAAGAAAGGAAATGGTAAAAAATTCTTATGAAAATTTTCTCACCTTGCTGTTCATAAATGAAGTCGCACCTTTTTTTTCCTCAATATTTTTGGCCTTCTCCTGCCTTATTACTCTGACACATATTACTCTATATTACAAAAACATATAGTTCAAAAACTAAGTAATTCGTAATCGATAAGTTTTCAAATAATTTCTAAACTTTAAATAAGTGTTTTATGCTATTTGTGAGCAAAAAATAAATAAATAAATAATAAAATAAAAAAATAAATAGCAATGATTTCATCATTAAACAAATTTTTGTTCGAAGTACTTGGTGGAATAAGGTAAAAATAATCAGGTAATTCATGTAACATGAAGTGAGCGAGACTTTATTTAAATTTGATCGATAAAAAGTATAATACGTTCTAAGTGAACGACATGTCATTTTTTTTCTGCAATTGTCCAAAGTATTACTAAACATTAAATACGAAACATTACAAACGTTTGTAACCTCATCATATTATGCTGTACCTTTGTAACTCTCGTTTTTGAATCAATCTTCCATTTTAAAATGTAACAAGTTATTTTTCTTTATATTTCACATGTGTTGGATCACGTTTACCATATAAATATCTTGGCAAACATTTTTGCGATTACTTTTACACATAATTTTCGCATGCATGAATGTATTAAGTTTGTGTTACTTTGACATTAATTTTTATTCCGTTCAAAAGAAAAATCACGTGAAGCGAATCACGCGTGATACGTGTTGAGATGATTCTCCCTTCGCGATTCACGGTATCATATACGAAACGAGCCTCTCTAACACTAGCAACCCATCATCATACTGACGTGATTTCAATTTGGAACGTTTTGTTTCAATTTTTAAACGACACTGAATTGTGGTTGAAATCTATAATAATTCAATATGCCCTTTGGGTTTCGAGTTTTATTTAATTTTTTTTCATTTGATTTGATTCGGAATATTTAAACATGCAAACAACTGCGTATGTTCGGGCACTTGAATTACGCTCTGGTTTCTGTTTACATTTTGATAGAGGGGGAAAAAGAATACTTATTCGTTTATATGGGTGTAGACTTGTTAACAGTTTGGGGTTTGCTAGATAGTATTTTGTATGTTTTGATTTGAGACAGTTTTTGAAATAACGTGTACATTTTATTACAGTATATTCAGGGACTACCACTTATAAAATTTTTTTAAATTTTAGCGTATTCAATTGCGGTAAGGATTTTATAAGATTTTCTGAGAGAAATTAGGCTTAGCGGGAAAAATCACCCGGTCCCGTACGTGCGTGTGTTCTTCGGCTTTTGGAGGAAGCTAGGAAACACTTATTTTCCCCTTCGCTGATCCTGAACCAATGAATATTTCAACCCAACAATGATTATATGTATACTAATTTTGATGAAAAAAATTTAAAAAATATGAAAATATTTGGTCTGTTGGATTCGAATGTTCTAAATTTAACCAAAATTTGTGATGTCTCATTTCTGACATTCGTGGAGGGCTCAAAATTGATTATTATTGTTATTTGTTTATTTATTTATTACAACTTTTGGTTTGTTTTAAAATTTATCATATCATTACTCCTAAGAAGCTTCGACATCAAATGTATAGCCTCTTACCAATCATGAATCTAGTTTGAAGAGGAGTGTGAGTCATTTCTAAAAACCTAGGACCTGGTAAAACTGGTCGAAATGCACTCATTGGAGCATCACATCCGTTCGAAATGCTTGATGTCTTGTTTACTATTTGTGTAGAATCTGGTTCAGAATGACGTCTTACTACTGAGCTATCCTTCGATGTTTTCTTGTTGCTGCGTGGTCCTCTCTCTTCTTGCACCGCTGAAATTAATTTTAAATTGTCAAAAATCAACATTTGGCAAAATATTAACATAATTTTTTTTATAAAAAAAATCACTTTTTTCAAGTAGACTGACTAATATGCAGAAAATAGTGTCACATAACTTCATCCGTGATTAATGTTATTTAACTGTAATCAATACGCAGACAAACACGAAATATGTAAACAGAAAGACAGATTAAAGAAGGGTCCCAGTGTTACGATTCAAAATGAAATGCAATGCATTTTCAATAAATTCGGAGAAAGAAATAATTTAAAAAAGTGTTTCAGTGGTCTAGAGTTTTGATCACTGTGGAAATCGCAAAAGATATTTAAAAAATATTTTACAAAAAATTTTATAAAAGGAATCTAAACGTAAATTTTGTTTTGTGCAAAGTTATAAGTAGGGGGGAAATGAGCGCTACACTCCACTTTTGGGGTTGATAACCTCTCTTACTATAGTGATATAGGATGAGCGCTTCACCCACTTCGGATCGATGACTTCTCGTCTATAGGATGAGCGCTTCTCCCCACTCACTCAGTATGGATGAGAGTTCAACTCCACTGATAAACTTAGTAGGGATGACGCACCATGGCTTTTTACGTAGCACTAAGCAAATGCTTCTTAAAAATTTTGGGTATCTATTTCCACAAAACTATGGGCATATTTAAAAAAATTGGCACTAACTATTAAATCTGAAACAAGTTTCAAATGATTTCCTCTTTGCAATTAATTATAAAACTAAGCAAAGTGTCCTCAATTATGTTAACCACATATTCGCTCTTAACGTCGCATGGTTCTTAACAAATGCTTCTTAAAAAGTTTCAGTGTTTATTTTTTCACTTCTATTGGTGTTTTTGAAACATTTGACACTTATTTTCTAATGTGAAACAAGTTTCAAGTGAATTCCTCATTGCAAAAATTATAAAAAATTTGCAAATTATCCTTTTTTATGTTTATTATATTAGTACTTTTAACGTAGCATGACTTGGAGTAAATAAATTCTTCTTAAGAATTTTGGGTATTTATTTTTTCACATCTATGTGCATTTTTGAAAAACTTGACGCTTACTTTGCAATCTGAAATAAGTTTCTCATTGCAAAAAATTATAAAAAAATTCGCAAAGTGTCTTCCATTATGGTATCGATAAATATGCTCATACTGTGAGTAAAAAATTTCTAAAAATTCTGAGTACTTATTTTTTGAAACATATTGGCATTTTTGAAAAAAAAAATGACGTATGANAATGAAGCATTTCAACGAATACATTTTATGAAAGCTAATTAAAACTCAAATCTTTCCTTAACTATAAATGCCTTTTATTTGTCATTTATTATATTAATAAATATTATATTATAATATATATTATATTATATTATATTATATATTATATTATATTAACACCATATATATGTTCGTAACGATGCATGGTTTAGTTGCTGGCAAGCTCCAGAAAGCGTCTAATGCTTAAAAAATATTCATAGATGTGTAAAAAATGAATACCCAAAATTTTAAAGAGGCATTTGCTTAGTCTAAACCATGCTACGTAAAATACTGTTATATAGTTAAAAAAAATGGAAGACATTTCGCAAATTTTTTGAATTCCTTTAAAGTCACATTAAAAATTGAGCGTTAACTTTTTCAAAAATACCCATTGATCGGAAGAAATATGTACCCTAAATTTTTAAGAAGCAATTTTGAGTTCAAACAATGCTACGTTAAGAGCATGTATATAACTAACATAATGGAGTACATTTTGCGAATTTTTTGTAACTTTTCCTATGAGAAATTAATTTGAAATTTTGCATCAGATTACAAAGTAAGCATTAAAATTTTTCAAAAATACCCATATATGTGAAGAAATATAAATACTAATACTATAATAATGAATATAATATAAGTATAATAAAAATAATAAATATAATGATAAATATAGATATTGTTTGGATTAAACCATGTCACGTTAAGTATATTGTTAACATAATGGAGAGCACTTTGTTAAAATTTTATAATTTCTTACAATGAGAAATTCATTTAAAACTTGTTTCAGATAAAAAGAAAGTGTAAATTTTTTAAAGAAATACCCATAGCTGTGAAGAAATAAGCACTGAAAATTTTTAAGAAACATTTGTTTATTCCAAGCCATGCTATTGAATGAGCCTAAATTTATTAATTTATTAATCATAATAAAATTTATTTTGGGAATTTTAAAATTTTTGCAATGCGAAAATTTTTTGAAACTTTTTCAGATTAGAAAGTGAGCGTCAATTCTTTCAAAGATACCCATATTTGAGAAGAAATAAGTACTCAAAGTTTTAAGAAGGATTTGTTTACTCCAAACAATATTACACGTTAAAAGCATATTTATTGTTAACATAGTGAAGGATGGTTTGTGAATTTTTTATAACTTTTGCCAATAAGGAATTAATTTGAAAGAGGTTTCAGATTACAAAGTAAGTGTCAAATTTTTCAAAAATATTCATGAATATGAAGAAATAAAAAAACTAAAATTTTTAAGAAGCGTTTGTTTAGTCCAAATCATGCTACGTAAAGAGCATTAATATGGTTGAAACAATGAGGGATAAATTGCTAACATTTTATATTTTTTACTGTCAGATTTTTACCAAGCTGTACAAAGCAAAAGTATTGAATTACAAATTAAAATAAGAAGTAGATTTTTAAAAATATTTAATTGTTATTAATAATATTTTTAAAAATATTAAATAAATAATAAAAATTCAGGCTACAATAACTTTAATGTGCACCGATGTATTAAACAATTAATGTGCAACAGATATCAAATTGTTAAGATAGAAAACTTTAAAAAGGTTGATATTAAAACTTATATAGTAGCACACAAAATATTCAATGTAAAAATTGAGGTTTATCTGCTGCAACCACCAGAAAATAGGTATTTACATTTTAAATTTAAAATTTGCAAATGTGTGTGTAAATATTTTTGTCCAAAGTGAATGGTTTCAAAAAGTTAAATCGGAGAATTTCTTCGAGAAAATTTCTGATACGCACATGTTATATTATATTCACAAAATACGAAAAAAAATTAAATAGAAAAGAGCAACATACGCGATTATTTTTGCATTTGAATAAGTATTTTCTTGGATGCAAAACCTGAGAAATAAATTTTTTTGTACCGTTGGTATGTTAAATTTCACAGAGTTAAAATTTAACGAAGAAATTAGGTTTTTATTAACGAGAAAAGTATTTTAAACCCATGTAGATTTTTTACGAAAATTGTCCGCAAAAAAATGACAACTAATATATTTTAGTTCGCGGGTTACAAAAAAAGGCTTCGTGGGCCGGAGGCGGCTCCCGGGAAGCCAGTTGGTAACCCCTGGTCTAAAAGAATCATGATTTCTCATTTCATTGCCTTTCATTAAATTATAAAGTATAATAATTACCATTTCTGTTCATACTGACACGGAAACATTTTTGGAGGCNTGTGCACCGATGTATTAAACAATTAATGTGCAACAGATATCAAATTGTTAAGATAGAAAACTTTAAAAAGGTTGGTATTAAAACTTATATAGTAGCACACAAAATATTCAATGTAAAAATTGAGGTTTGTCTGCTGCAACCACCAGAAAATAGGTATTTACATTTTAAATTTAAAATTTACAAATGTGTGTGTAAATATTTTCGTCCAAAGTGAATGGTTTCAAAAAGTAAAAACGGGGAATTTCTTCGAGAAAATTTCTGATACGCACATGTTATATTATATTCACAAAATACGAAAAAAAATTAAATAGAAAAGAGCAACATACGCGATTATTTTTGTATTTGAATAAGTATTTTCTTGGATGCAAAACCTGAGAAATAAATTTGTTTGTACCGTTGGTATATTAAATTTCACAGAGTTAAAATTTAACGAAGAAATTAGGTTTTAATTAACGAGAAAAGTATTTTAAACAAATGTAGATTTTTTACGAAAATTGTCCGCAAAAAAAGGACAACTAATATATTTTAGTTCGAGGGCTACAAAAAAAGGCTTCGTGGGCCGGAGGCGGCTCCCGGGAAGCCAGTTGGTAACCCCTGGTCTAAAAGAATCATGATTTCTCATTTCATAGCCTTTCATTAAATTATAAAGTATAATAATTACCATTTCTGTTCATACTGACACGGAAACATTTTTGGAGGCGACAAAATGGACACCAGTTTCGTCGTGCTTTGTCAACGACACAATTTCCCGTACCAGCTGTAAAAATTGGAAAAGTTAGTTTTCAAACATTAAATAGCATTCTTATCAATACAGAAAAAGCTTAAATACAAAATGCATATAAGACTTTAGGGTGCTCAAATAAAAACGAAAACTTTAAGTTCTAAATAAAGATTTTTTTCTATATATTAAATGTACCCGTATACACCTCTGGAAAATATGCATTTCGGACTTCCTACATTATGCATTATTTTAATGGAATTTCTAATTATAGTTTAACACAATTTTGACCGGATCTCCATGATACAGTATAACTTTCTTCTAGATTCCAGGTGATCACGTGTTCGTTAACAAAGAATTTTTCTTTTTTTTTTTTAAACTAAAATATTGGAAAATGCCCGTAAACACACTTGCCCACTTCAGATTTGTACTCATTTGCTACATATTATCATTATTCATTCTTATCATTGAAATTTAAATCACATCAGAATTGTGACTAATAAGACTTTCTAGACTTTTAAGTGATCGCGAGTTCATTAGCATAAACGTTTGACTTTTTCTTAAATTAAAATTAGCTTCACCATGTTCGAATTCAAACTAAATTTTGGTTAAATGGTCACATTAAAAAATTGCAATGAGTTTTTTTATAACTAAATATAACCTATTTATAAAGAGTTAAATTTTCTACTCTTAATGAAACATACGGTTATAATCTAATCGTATTTTTTTGAAAAAATAGGAGTCGGAAGAATGTTGAGATTCATGTCGCAAGAACTGGAAGCTATATTTAATTGCTCCATATACAAACGATATTCTATGCAACAAAATAATGGTGTTATATACCACGCGTGACTCAAAAACATGCTGTGATATTGAATCGTCCTAGTGGTTTTCTAAAGCATACTCAATTGCGCTTCGAATATCTAATCCATTCTTGACATGAGTTTTAGAATTACGCTCAAAACCTCGCGCCCATCCCTCTCTCTTTAAATCATCAGGTAGAACGTTTTCAGATAAATGTTCTACCTGATTATTTATGATCACATTCTCATTCATGATCGTGATCAGGATCACTTATTATCATTTTCTGATCACTTATTCACATTTGCGATTACATGATTACGTGATTTACGATCACATTCGCACCAAGAATATTCGCCAGAAATGAAAGAAACTTTTGTTTATTACGGTCTTTCAAGAAAAATACTAAAATAAATTCAAATTATCTTGTTTACTTTTCTTATTTTTCGTCAGAAATATTTTTTTAAAAATTTATTTCTTCATTGCGTTATAGTCTTATACAAATTTCTTTTTTTTTTCTTCCAATTTCTTTTTACTGTTTTTTGCATGCTCATTATGTCAAAGCTTTATTTATACCACCGAGCTACCAAAATAAAAAAAAAAAAAAATAAAAATTAACGTTTCCGCTGCACCATTTTATATTAATAATATTTATTAAAAGTAATATGTTTATGATATACTGTAGTGTACAAAATCCGTACGAATTTAACTAAGTTGGCAATAAAATTACGTTCTTCTGGAAAACAAAATATTAGAGCTGGTTGAGGTATGTCGAACGTTTTTCGAACAGTTCATTTTTGAAGCCTTATAAGAAAATTTTGAATGAAAAAATTTATTTATTAACTTATTTTACTTTAGACTTCATTAATAAACTAAATTTTATCATTTTTTCTTAAAATAACGCTTAAATATTTTTAATTATTATTTTTTAAGAAAAAAAATCAGATGGAAGTCCCACTTACTACACAAGAAGGGGTAAGAGGGCGGTTAACTCTTTATTTAAATTAAAGAAGCATATCTAAAAAAAGGATACGTGAGTTTTACTTGATAAAGTTTATAAATTTTTAGTGTGAAAAATTTATTTGTAAATATATTCATTTATTAGTTATCTATGGACATTAAATCTGAATGACGGGTATTTATAGAATAAAAAACAAAACAATTGCGTGTATGAAATTTATTGAAAGCTATAGTAATTTTGCATTATAGTAATTTAAGGCACCTTATTTAAGCCATAATGGAAAAATTTATTCAAATTTACTTCTTGGGGTAACTGGGATTCCTTAAACCCGTTTGCTTCTGGTACTGAAAAATTACGGCCTAAGTGGAACCCCTACTTTTAAACACTTAATAATGCTTCGAAAAAAAATTACAGTATGTACTTTAGGTTAAACTATATTTAAAAGTATAATAAACATTAAAAAGATAATAAGAACTAACCAGGAAAAATGTTGCCTGAAATCTTTCCAAAAAAATATTTTTCTGGAAATTTATCTTACATTGATTTTACAATCAGGAATAAAAATACATGAAGCAAAACCAATCACTTTAGTAAAATGTGACATGATTAACAGAAAAAATTTACATGCATATTTCAATTTGGGGGGTTTAATCCACTTACCCCAGTGGTCCACTTCTCTCAACCAATCCTACTTTAAATAGGTTTTTCTTCAACACTTTATCTTAAATTGATAGTTTTAATTAACATTAATACAATAAAAAAATTTTATTAGACGTTACTTTTAAAAGAAAATTTAAAATGCTAAACCATATTTACTACATATTAGAGTTTATCTCAGAATATATTTGTCATCCGATTGATTAAAGGGCTTTTTCAAATGTCTCCCTCCAAAATATAATTGACATGTTCTTTCGATTTTTTTTAAAAATTGTACTAACTAAAAAGTTGTTCAAGGTAGCAAGTTTTCGGAGGAATAATGCTCTTAATGAAATTTTTTTATTTATCATTGCTAAAGAAGGAAAAAAAGGAAAAGTCAAATGAGAATTGTAATTAATTAAAGTTTACTTAATAATTAAGATAAGTTCGTAAAGATTTTTTCGAGAACAGCTGTGCGGCAGTGACTGGTCTAAGAAGCATTTTTTAAAATTTTTTTTAGTTTTTTATTTTTTTTATTGGAGCTATAAATTTTTAAACTTAGACTGAAAGTTTATATTTAATATTTTATGGAATATTAATTTGGTGTTCCTCATTTTCTATGATTATGGTCAGCTATGCAGTTAAATTTATTTAAGTTAAAGTAGATAGAATTTAGCAGACTAGCTTAGTTTCCAAACTTCGCATTTAGTTTCAAAGAAAGCAAAAAAGATAAAAAAATTAAGTCGACCAAGTTTCGTACCGTTGTCCTTACTCTGTTGTAATTGATATTTTCTACACGCGAGACGATAGCATTGTTATAGAATTTAGCTACTAAATCATGGATGATCAGGCTATGGCACGGTATGCTTTTAGCAGCGGAACGCAACGTTGTTTTATCGTATCATTGTACTGGCGTCAGCACCGCTTTCTGCCACGGCTGTATTCAGTAGCTCATGAGTAACGTTTTTACAGATTTTAAAAAAGTTCTTGAAGAAATTTTTTTTCTTCAATTTTTTAAACTTTTTCTTTAGGTCTTCGCGTGGCACTGCTGAAACTCCACCATGCTATACTATGGTGCGTGCCGTAGCTTGGCCATCCATGATTTAGTAGCTAAATTCTGTATCAATGCTCTTATCTCGTAAGTAGAAAATATGAATTACAACAGAGTAAGGATAGCGGAAGAAAACTTGGTCTACTAAACTTTATTCTATTTATTTATTATTTTTTTTTATTTGCTATCTTTGAAACTAAATTTGCTATCTTTGAAACTAAGAAAACTTAGTAGACTTAATTTTTTTTTGTTGCTATCTTTAAGACGATTCTAAGGTGAGCCCGATATTTTGTGTTGATTTTCTGTTATGACCATAATAAAATCAAAATATAGTTCAATAAAATCAAATAACGTTAATTGATATTTGTCTAAAACACCTAATTTTGTTAACATTTTCAAGAACTAATTCTGATGCAGTTCTAATAAATTAACTGTTTAAAATTTAATTTTCAAGATATCAAGATATTAATTTTTGTTTTTTACATAACCAACGTTCAACGTTTTAAAATGTTTATTAACGTTAAACCCAAAATTTAAACAGTTGTTTTATTTATTATATTAGTTTTTAAATTTCTATTACTCTGAATAATTTAAACAAAATGTACTATTTGTGCGAAAATCATATGATCAGATTATAAAGAGAATTTTTCACTTTATTTTATTTTAATAACCGTCGTTGAACAGCCAATTTTTTGGGTTTACGACTGCTAATGTTCAACTCCGTCACTTTGTAATTTCGAACCCAATGCAGAAAACAAGGGATTTCTTGAATCACGTTTTGGGAGAAATTTACTTTCATGGAGGACTTCTTGATGAAACTAAACCACATTTGCGTTACATAGAGAGGAAAACCTCGAAAACCTCCCACGATTAGCTTGACAACAAGGGGACTCTAACCCATGATCTGTCTACCACTGAGGATAATTTACGTCAGCACTGTGGTTTGTGCCAGCCAGATGCGGAATTCGTATCCGCCAGCCATCGTTGGGATTCGAACCCAGTTCACCTCATTGGAAGGCGAACGCTCTATCCCTCAGCTTTCACAGCTCTTTCACTCTATTTCTAAAAAAAAATTTGGCTCCTTAAAAAAGTTTAAAATGGCACCCATATTTTTCCTTTTTTTCATTTTAGATAAGTTACTTTCCTCCAATAATATTGGCCACCTCAGCACCAGATGAGGGTCGTAAGTGGTTATATTGCTTTTACTACTATTATTTTTATTATTACAGCTTGACTATGTTAAAGCATTATTAAAATTTTTTGCAAGTGGTAAAGAATGTCTATTTACCAATACAGCTATAAACAATGCCTCTTCTTATACTGCGTTTAAAGAAGCAACTGCACCCATCGCAGCAAAATACACCATAATGTTTTCCATAAGATTTATCTCCACACACTAAACAAGATACAGGAACAGGTAATGTTCGCCCTGAAAAAGTAATTATATTAATTAATCACTAAATGGTGTTTCAGATGCGGGTAAGACGTAATCACTGTCTTTAATGTATATATTCAGAATTTTCGTAAAAATTGAAGTAACGAAATACACAAGGGAGTCGCAAGTTATTATTTAGGACAGAGAAAAACAAAAAAAGCCATAACAGGACAAATCATTAACGAGAAAGGCGAGATTGAAAACAACCAAATCTATTTATAACAGTCAGTGAGTTGAGATTAATTGTGAAAAGCAATTAATGAAAAGTTTCATGCTTAAACAGGTATTTCAACTATTTTTTTTTCTCTTCTGCCTATTTCACTCTTAATTCGTCAAATTTTGAAAGTGTTTTTCCTCGTTAAAATATTAATTTAATAACCTTCATGTGTAGGTTTTTTTAACTTAATTTCTGACAAAAATTTTGTATATATTTTCCATTTAAATACTGAATTAAAAAGGGATCATTTAATTAGCTTAGAATTTGATAAGTGCACTATTAAAGAATATCTCAAGACAATAAAACAAAAAGAAAAAAATTAACGAAATTTTTTTTGAATGTGTTTAATGATGTTCTATTTTTGGAACATGGGTGTTTGATAAGATTATTTTTTATTTATTTTCAAAGAAGAAACGAAGTAGTCAATGAATTAAATAAATTCACAAATTTTTATTACTCTAAAAATATCGATGATACATAGCTGAACTAAGGTGGTATTAATGGTGATTAAAACATGGAGATTTTCGTATTTCTAATTTATTTTCACACCAGCCCACCGTGGGCCAAAAGACCATGGATAACGGGATTCCTAAAATAACAAAAGAATTTTTCTTTTCTCAGGATTAAGATAACTTGATAGACTTGAAGGATAACCAATGCACGTTTGTTTCATTAACATTAAAGATTAAGATTGTAATAACGAAATAAGGGGTAACTATATCTTTGTTTTTCCCCTTTCAGTATTCCCGAACGACATTGCAGCAGAAAAAAGAACTTCCCTCATAAAAGGGGGGGGGGAAATATCGTAATAGAGGAAGGCTAGTAATTTTAACTTGTTAATGCATGCGATTTTTTTCTTTCGTCTTTATCATTAGCATTTTGAAGATGACTTAGAAGCTTGTCGTAATAGCGGACTTCACTCTCAGAAATAAAACTCTCACTTTTGACGATACAGCAATCCTTGAACTGTATTACGTTAATTTTAGGAATAATTTCGTCATGAAATCAATCGATTTGTGACAAAATGTGAACTTTCAAATCTATGACAAAAATGTTTTCTTTTTTCGGAACCTCAACGCAGTGCATTAGAGAGATTGCTAACTAGAATGACGAAACTGGAATGAAGACTACTACATCATCAAAAATAAAGTGATGAAATAAACCGACCGTCTGTATGGTGATCAAGGAGTTTGCCTCATACCAAGAAAATCCCAGGTTCGAATCCCGCTTCGAGCAGTCTTCTAGCTGTACTTCTTGTGTTGTTTTGGGTGTCATTGGTCCACCTATATGGTGCCCACGATCAAGTGATTATTGGAAAAATTAGATACATAAGGCACTGCGACGTTTTTTCTTCTTCTTTTTTTGGAAATAATAGATTGAGGAAATGTTTCTTTGACGTCACTTTGACGAAATTTTTGGTCGCAGCATATACCAGGAAACGGTTTCGTCAGAAACAAAAAAAGTTTCGTGAACTTTGAAAATTCATATTTTACAGTGTTTTCGTTAGATGCCGAACTCGATAAATCGAGCATTTACTGCAACAATTAACGTAAATCAATTGTTCCAAATTGAATCAACGCACTTTTGTTTGAGATCGTCGATTTGTTACTTTCTTGAACTAAAATATTTATTTATTATGTCATTTTTGTTTCGTTTTACATCTTTGAAAATGATTGAACTGTAAAAATCCGAATAACTTAATTTTTAGATAATCTTATTTGTTTCAATTTTGGAAAATAGAAAATTCAAAAACTAAAGATTTTGTTAAATTTATTTAAGCGAATATTCATTCAAAAAGTAAATTTAAGATATAGATAGAATAAACTTTAATTTAAAAATTAAAAAAAATCATTGAAGAACTATAAATTGTGTGGGCTTTATTAGCACAAATCACTTCCAAAAAAGTTGTCTGAAATTAATACGTTAGTGATAAGAAGACAAATATGTTATCAAAATATGAAGAAGCATTACCAACGTCAATTACAGAAAAGATGAAATTTAATTAACGAAACAAGTTTATTTGACCAATGAAACTAAAATGATATTTCCTAATAATTATACTCCAAGTTAATAAAGTTTATTAGGAACATCTTTCACTTTCCTCCGACAAATATACTGATCTTTTATTATTTCATTTTCACATTTCATATGATATGTCTTGATGCTTCGTCAGATATGATAACTTTTTTTGTATTTTTTTCCTTTAAATATTTAACTGACACCCTCTACTTTTTCATCCAATAATCTAATTAATCATAAACAAGCTTCAAAAACATTATATCAATGAAACGAATGATAATTTGCGTAGTTTATGGAATGTAAAATAGTCGAATTTAATTACTTACTATTTTTTAAACATGATACTGGATTTAAAAAAAACACAGACACAATTTGAGAAAATTTGTACTTTGGCTAACTGTAATATTCAATAATAACAGTTAATTGTGTTTGTTCTTAGTTGCGTAATTATTTATAGTAATAATTTTCTACCATTTTTAACAAAAAATTCTTTTAAAAGTGGAATATAATTTTAGGTTTGAATTTAATCATTGCAATTAGCTATAAGTGAAATATTATTCGACATTTAACGATATTCTTGTGAGGATCATGTAGTAAATATCTATTTTTGGAATATATATTTGACTAATAGATCATAATCAAATTAAACGACTAGAAAACTTACCCATTTTAGGCGGAAAGCTGATTTATTTGATTATAGAACCACTTTTGCCGTGAGCAAGTAACTTTCCTACAGGTGGGACTTCCTGAGTTACCCCGCCCACGGCATTTACCATTGGTTGATCTCAGAAAGGTAAGATCATATGAACTAGCGAATCAGAGGTCGAAATATTTACACCTTTCCTTTTAGAAAGTCTATCATTTATTTGTCGAAAGATTTTTTATTAGATTATAAAGATATTTTTTGCTGCTTTTATATTTTTCTTAAATTTTATTTTCTTCTCTTAACCAGCACACAGCATAATCAACAATAATAAATTCACAGTAAGAGTTAAAAAAAACACAATTTTTAAAAATAATTTATTTTCTTCTTTTAACCTGCTCACAACGTAATCCGAAATAAGGAAAATTTGTGTTTCATTAAAAACAACGCTTAAAACAACAAATAAAATTTTATTTATTTATTAAAACTCATGCAGAATTCGGTTTCACATTGATACACACACCATCATCAGTATGATAAATGACAGTGGTGATAAAACAGAGTTGATATCCTTCGCCAAAGGTTACGACATGCTAAAAAGAAAAATATACAGTTAAAGGTAACAATAATAAACTGACAGTAAGAGTTAAAAAATAAATGATTTCCAACTCTCTGACATATATGATATAGCAGTAAGATCATTAACACTATAATTTTTAATTTTTGATAAATTTGAAACTCTCCCAGAAATCTAGATCAATATATGAAATCCAGTTATGAATGATATAAGGTGAGGAAAAATCGAACCTATAGCCTTTTGTCTAGCAGTGTTTTGCAATAGTTGAGCAGTGGAGTTCTTTATTCTTGATGTAGCTTTGATGTTCGTTCAGACTATATTTGAGGGCACTTTTAGTTTCCTAACGCATGAAAGTCCACATTGACATGAAATTTTGTAAATTTTCTCTGTTAAAACAATCAGTCGATTGTTTGAAATACGAGAAAGCAGTTTTATTGTTCGAAGAAAAGATAATTTGAAATTTATGTTTGAATGAATTTTTGATATTCGGACGATAATTTTTGGAAAAAGTGGAGGCAGAACCCTATTATTTGTGTCGGACTTGACATATTCATATTTAGGATTATAAACATATTTTTTTAACAATTTTATCTATTATCTTGGAAAAGAAACCCTTATCTTTGGTCGTAATGAGTTTTCGGATGAATGTATCAGATTTACAATTATCTACATTGTAAAACAAAACATGGAATATTTTCCGCAAATACTCTCTGTTATAGGTAAAGAACTGTGATTCATGTTTTCCTTCATTTAACATGGTAAATAAATCTTCTTTTCAAATTAAATAAAATAAAAAAGTTCAAAGCGTATTGTAATTTGAGTTCACCTTAAAAGATATTTTACGTCAAGCGTGAATTAAAAGTACTTAATGCTTAAGTACTTTTATACGTTAAAGTAAGCATTAGCCCGTTTGCTATTTGCTTAGGATTTGACAATTAGCTCACGTTAAATGAAATTCACGTTAAGCGTGTTTATGTAAGCGATGTTGTTCATGAGTATAAGGATTACTGTGGCTATTAAGGATGTTTTATGATACATTTATGAAAATAAGAATTAAATTTCAGGATACGAATTTTACTATCATATTTTGACAGACCACTGGGAGATAACCAATAATAATAATTATTAGCTCTTTTGTTAACTAAATTTTGCACAGGACATCGATTCTAAAACTTCAGAGAGTAATATTTCGATTTTTTTTGCTAGTTATTTCAAGTTTTTTAAAATTATGTTTTTTATATGTTCAAATAAAAGAAGATGAGAAATTATAATTGCTCAATGTATTTTTGTTTCCTTACAATTTATAAATCACAAGTAGGGAAAAAAAACCCAAAGAAAAAGAGGAAAGGCCAATGGAATCAAGGATAAAAGGAAAAAAATCAGTATTTTCTAAAATTCCAAAATGGAGAAAATTAAATTTCATGGTTTAATATATTAAAGGAAGAAGCAAATAAATGATTCAAAAGGTAGGAATGGAAATATATGAACGTGACAGAACACAAATTTAGCACTTTATACCAAAAAAAAAGTGTGTGTGTTAGAGAGAGAAAAACACGCATATTTTGAATAGTTAATTCTTACTCAAACTATGTGAGCCAACTGCATATGTAGTTTGGGGGAAGATGAATAATAATTTAAAGCATAATCAATAGCATGACAAAATGATAGAATATTACCATTAATCATGAAACATTTCAAACATCAAAAGAGTTCTACAAGGCCGGGATAGCATGATTGGCAGGACGCTGGACTCACGTTTGTGAGGACGGGAGTTTGAATCCAACCGGCAGAAGATTTCCCGTGTAGTAAATGGTGACTGGTGCACGCTGAATCTGTCGAGTCACAAAGTCCTCCATGTTCCTGTAACAAATCAATTCCTCTGGGGATAGGGAATTGGAGATTGATCGCTCTCTGGTTCAGGTCAAAATAACGATCTGTGGAGGAATGAATGAATGTATGAATGAGTCCGTAATATAAACGGGTGTGACGTATGAGAGTGGCAGAAGTCAAATTCTTGGCCATAGATGGCTCCATTGGAAAACAAGAGCAATCGCATTCGTACTGCCTTAACAAGCTTACGATGACAACAACAACAAGAGTTCTACACGCTGAAATTGAAAAAAAAAAAGAAAAGCCCTAGATTTTACAACGTACGTAAGGTGAAGTTCCCTCTGGAGTAGAACTGCAACTCTGCTATTCAAGGTAGGATATTATTTTTCATTTTTTTAAAAAAGTTTGTACACAACTTACGTAATTTGCATGGATATTTAAGCCAAATGTACTGACATGATACTTTATTACATTTAATTCCTATCCGATAAAGTTTTTATGTATACCTACTCAGAATATATGACAAAAAAAGAAGATATCATGGGCTGATTGGCTTTGATCGAAGCATAAGTACAATTTGATAAGAAAATTATTTTATTTACTGACAAAGGAAATCTTACTATAAGGAACTTTACTGCAAAAGTAGGTGTAAAGGCATTGCTACATCATACCAAAGAGGTGATGCTGGTCAAAATATGGACCACCTAATTCGACTTAAAATGATCACACAAAATGGAATGTAGTTCAGTTGGAAAGAGAGTTTGCTGAATTACCATATACTCATGTGAAAAATTAAAAAAGTATTTTTCTAGTTGAGAAATAAATTTAAAATTAAATTGAAATGTAAGGGGGTAGACAGTATTAAATCTTCCCGAAATAAAGTTATACATTATGCAGTGGGACGACGATTAAATTAATTGCAAATTCAATGCCGATCTAATGATATCGAAATAATTTCCAATGATAAAAAAATAATCACTCAAAATGGGGGTAATTTTTTTGTTTGTTTTTAATTATTTTGGAAAATAATACGTATAAAAAGTCCAGATATCGGTCAAACATCAATGTATTAAATAGTACATCTGGAATTTATAAATGACGACGTATCACACTTGAAACAAATGATAGTAAAAAAAAACTTCCACTCTGATATATGACAATAACCGCGATTAATTCAGATTTAAGGAAAAAAATATATCGTAAGTCTTGGGGGAGAACTTTGGTTTTACTTTTTTGTTTCATATTGCATTGAAACAAGGAATAAAGATTGACTTTTGCTATCTTTATTAAATAAGTTACCGTTAAAAATAATTTTAATGTTAAAATGTTTTAATACGATGTAAATCTTTACAAATGAAGGTTTACAATGAGCTCAAGTAAGTTTAAAGGTGATTCCTTATGAACTGTCCCATGCGGGACACTGCCTGTTTTTCCTCCGTGTCCCACCTATGACGAACCAATGACAAATTTAAAAAATAACTGCAATATTACAATGGCTTATAACATTAGTAAAACGACTGCAAAGCAGCGAAGCATTTGCAAACGTTTATATTTTATGAAGAAAAGAAAGATTATTATTATTATTATTATTATTTTTTAGTTAGCTTAATTCATGTATTTATTTCCAAAAATACACTTATAAATTTTCAGCTCCGTTTTGCATGTATCACTTGATTTAATTGCTATATATATTTCATTTTTAGTCTTTTAAAAAAGGCATTACTCTTAAAAATTGAAGAATCAAACGCAATTCATAAAAACAAAAAATTTATATTTTTTAAAAATTAAAAATTTATTGAAGCTCATTTTATAAGTAAATGCACTAAAAATGTCTGGCACGTAACCTTGCACGTAATTCATAAAAAAAGAAACAAAAAGTTCCTAAATAGTTGAATACGGAAATAATTAGGGAAAAGCTGAAAAAACTGATTTAAAAGTTGTAGTTCAAGCCCAATATGAATATCTCAAGTTTGCTCCCTCACCCGAAGTGAGCAATAGTTGCTGTCTCGAATTTACTGGGAAGATGAGTTTAAAAGGGGCGAACCTTAGACATTGCTACTAATTTAGTATATAGACAAGTGTGGTATTGTTTCCTTCGTGTGTTTTTATGTTGAATAAAATGAGACCAAATTAAAGTTTATAGAACTAATTATTCAAAAGTCGTACAAAAGTTATAAAATATTTCATACATAAAAAGTAGTCTTATACTTTAACCTATTAAAGCGTATGACACTTTATTTTATTGACAATCGAATTGTCAATGAAATAGAGTGTCATACGCGTTATTGAATGCTGTAAATTTTTTCACGTTTGCTTGAAATATATTAGAACCAGACGGGTAAAGTTAATTTTTTGATAGTTTTCTTAGTTAATTTTAAGTTATGTCACGGATACAATGGTCCTTTTTTTAGTTAATTAAGTTGATAAAACGAATAGTTCTGTAGTTTGAAGAGAGTTTTATGCGTAAAAGAATATAGAAAAATTATAGATTTCGTAAATAAAAGCCTTATATATCAAAATTATTAGTCTTAACGGCTTGGATTTTGTTTTATTCTATTCAGTGTAAAACAAAACATAAGGTCAAACTCTTCACATATCTATAGACCTACTATACTATA